ACAGCAGCCTCGAGGAGGACGCGGAGGACTTTTTCTTCACCGCCAGGACCTCCTTCTTCAGGAGAGCGCCTCCGGGCAAGTCCCGTTCGGGTCAGCCGGTGAGTGGCGTGCGCGGGGTTCCGGCCCCACCTCTCCACCCCCCTGAGCTGGCCGGTGCTCGCCTGCGGGCTTGCGGGGTGCAGAGGGTGGCCTCTGCCCTTTCGGATCCTGAAAGGTGCTAGAAGCTTGTGCAGTGGGCGTGGGGCGCCCGCGGCGAGGGAAGGAGGTGGAAGGGCAAGCAGCCAGATGACGGCCTGGGCCGCTCTGCTAGGGGACGCGGGCTGCTGGAGCAGCTCCAGGAGCTTGGAGGTCCCCGGGCCACTCGGGATGGCTCCTTCGGCTGTTCTTCAGGGGCAACGACCGGCTGCGCTGTCCTGGCTGCAGTCCGCTCAATGGCCATGAGTGGCCTGAGGGCACTCAGTGGCCCGGGGTGACCGAGCAGCCCCCAGTACGGTCAAGCTGTGGGGCAAAAGGACCGGACGATCGTTGGGCTCACTAAAGTCTGGATCGCAGAGCCTGGAGTTTCGCGTCCGGTCCAGTTTGCGGGTGCTGCGGACGTCCTAGGTAGACTTATCTCCAAAGGGCTGAGCTTTATGCCGGTTTCTTCCTTTTTTGGAGGAAGGGTGCCGTGGGAAGCGTGGCTTGGGAAAAGGCAGAACGGGAACTTGTGCCAGTTTCTCAGATCGTGACAGTGAATATTTTTTTAGGGAAGTCTTCCAATCGGGCCACTTTGGTCCGAGTTATAAGGTCGGCGCTTGAACCTGTGGCCTTTTGGCCCTGGAAGCCGCACCAGGAAGCCTGTTTAGCCAGACCATGCTCTCATCAGATTTAGAGACTGCAACGGAACAAACTTGTTGCTCCTAAAACACAACAGGCTCGCACCAGAGATTTCTATCAGAGCTCTGGAGATGAAAAACAAGAGAAACCAATCGTCGAGGGGCCCAGTGATGGAGGGGTTTTGGTGGAGAGGAACTCTGCCCAGCTTGTCCTTGCCAACTCTTTTAAGTTTAATGGAGTACTTTTTGAAGTAAAATTTATTTATAAGATTTGGAAGTTCTAGTATTTTTGGTCTATTAAATTTCCAAGCTCAATGGAGGAGGAGGGTGGTGAAGGGCGAGATTCAAATCAAGTGGTCATATTCCTAGTAACAGCTAACTCCTAAGGAGAGGCTGGAGGTGGGTGCTCTTACGGTTTTATCATTGTCAGACTTAAGGCGGCTCTGTTTACTAGGGCTGTATTTTATTTTCAGTAGAATGTGCTAATGGCATGAATTTGGAAATCTTAAGTTACCCCCTGGCTGGCCTACCCCCTGTAGGTTAGAGAGAAATGGCTTTTCTCCACCTTGTTTTTCCCTTCATTGTTGGTCTTGATTTCCCTTCACCACTTTGCATTTTCTCCTTCCACTTAACGTGGTGAAGAGCTTGCACTAGTTTGAAGCGTGTTCCTGAGGTGACTAGTCATTTCCAGAAAGCTAGAGGGTGCTTGAATTCTACAGGTGTGAGTTTCTCCTCTACAGGGGCCAGCTGGAATGTTGTGGTTGGACTTAAGTTTAAGAATCCTTCCCTGCTCTTAAAAAAGTTGAAGCAGTAGGCTGGGGATGTAGATCAGTTAAAGAGCTTGCCCTTACTCACTGCTTAATCTGCGTGATGATGGGACACAGTAGTGTGTGTGTGTGTGTGTGTGTGTGTGTGTGTGTGTGTCTGTCTGTCTGTCTGTCTGTCTGTCTGTCTTGTCAGTGCACAGGAGGATCAGCAATTCAAGGTCATCATCCAACACACACACACACACACACACACACACACACACACACACACACACACTAGCAGCAGCAGCAATACTTTCTAGGATTATATACAGTTAGCCAGTTCAGCTTATATGCATTCGCTTATATAATAGTCGGCTAATTGTGTGTATGTTCATATCTGTATATATCTCGTAATATTGCTTATTGAGCACTGACATGAATGAGTATGTAAGGCTTGTGTTAAAAGACCCGATTCCTGGGTAGAACAGTTCACTGTGTATATTTTGAAGCTCTGTTACCTGTTTGTCCCATCTAAAATAGCTCATGCACGTTGCTAAGTTGTAGTAGTTTTTGCCAGTTAAAAAAAGGGTTCTTGGTGAAAAGGGTTCTGAAGCCAGAATTTATTTATTCAGTTACGTATTTTTGACACAGTGTCTCTCTGCATAGCCTAGACTGACCTGGAACTCACTCTGTAGACCAGGCTGACCTGGAACTCAGAGATCCGCCTGCCTCCGCCTCCCGAGTGCTGGGATTAAAGCCTCGGTTCACCACGCCTGTGTGAGCCCTGAATTTCAGTAGGCATTTTGTTTTATTTAAAGGAGTAACTGTATCTTAAGTTCCTGATTACATATTTGTGAATGAGGAAGTAGAAAACACTTTATGGTAGCTATTTTTTTACTTTGATATGCTCGTGATTATGGGGCAAGACAAACATTTCTAACACACACAGTGCCTTTATCTCTCCCCTGAAAGGTGGGGAGAGCCGTTGCCATAGGGATCTATTCTTGATAACAGTGATTTTTTCCTCCCCTCCCTTATGTTGTACCACCTGCTGGAAGAGCTACGGAATATGGTTTCTGGAACTCTTGCAAATGTTCAAAGAAAGCAAGAAGTCTCTGGTGAATACAGGATGAGGAGAAGGGAGTGGGGTTGGGAGGTGGGAGGGGGATAAACGTTTTCTCTCTTCTCTTGCCAGGCAAGGAAACATGATCCAATTCCTTTCCATCTCTGACGATAATGAAAAAAGGCATAAAGAAAAGGTGTCATTTTTTCATCTTATTTTGTACCCTGTTTGGTTTTTTTTTTTTTTTTCTTTTGGTTGAAGATCTTCATGAAAGAATGTTAAAAATGGCCTTTTAGGGGATGGTATTGCTGTCTTCCCTGGCCTGAAACAGTCAGTGCCCGACTCAGCAGTTGCTCAGTGAATACTAGTTGAATGAATGAATGATTTCCTGGCTTGATGATGCCCCTTTTCAGTCATAGCCCATCTTACTGTTCCCCCAAGAGCCCTCTGAAGCAATGATCTTAGGAGAGGAGAGAGATGGTTGAGTGGTTGTTTATAAGGCCCTCGCTCAGATACCAGGAAGGCTGGAGTGTGGATCTTCTGATTCAGGTTCCATTTTCATTTTCTTAGCAAAAGGATTACTTAAAATTCCATTTTCCATTGTAAATATGGTTGTGTCTGTATCAAGTGTTTCTCAAAGTTTGATTGACTCGTGCATATACCGTCATTACAGTGCTCTCAGTTTGTGTTTGTGGACTCACCATGCTTCAGGTGACCCACCTAGGGCTGGCTGCAGAGATGGCTCGGAGGTGAAGAACATTGGCTGCTCTTCCAGAGGACCTGAGTACAAGTCCCAGCAATTACATGGTGGCTCACAACCTTCTATCTGTAATGAGATCTGGTGCCTTTCTCTGGCCTGTAGGAACACTGTATACATAATAAATAAGTAAATCTTGAAAGAAAGAAAGAAAGAAAGAAAGAAAGAAAGAAAGAAAGAAAGAAAGAAAGGTTCACCTATTCTTAGTTTTAAGCAGAACCAAAAACGTTCACAGTTCTGTAGTTACGTAAATCAAACTGCCTCAAAATATAAGACTCATTCAAGGCCTATTAATATAATCAGCTAAACTTTTCTATTTATTTATTTATTTATTTATTTATTTATTTATTTTTGAGGCAGTTTCATAAAGCCCTGGCTGGCCTTAAACTCTCTATGTAGTTAAGGATGACCTCGAACTTTTTGATTCTCCTGAGTGTTTGGAGTCACGCCCAGTTTTCTGGGGTGCTAGAGATCACCTAGGGCTGGGGCATTTAGGCAAGCATTCTTCTGACTGAACTACACCCCAGCCCATGTCTTCTCTTGCAGCTGAGGGGATAGCCTTTGGTGGTTAATAGAGTAAGCACTGTTTCTGCTTTGGAAGTGGAGAACTTTGTGTCCCACCCATGTTAACTTTAACAAGTTATACTGAGAATTGTGAAAGCAAGCCTTTAGTATGCCACATAAGCCTTCAGTTTGATTTTTGGGTTGGCTCCTTACTCTTCTAGTGGTCATTTTGTGACTGTCTGGTTATGATTTATTAGAAGGCTCAACAGTAATGTGTTACACTCTCTTAAATTTTATTATTTTTTTAAGCTGGGAGGTGGTGACGTACGCCTTTAATCCCAGCACTCGGGAGGCAGAGGCAGGTGGATCTCTGTGAGTTCGAGACCAGCTTGGTCTACAAGAGCTAGTTCTAGGACAGCCTCCAAAGCCACAGAGAAACCCTGCCTCGAAACCCTCCCCCCCCAAAAAAAAATTATTATTTTTAAAATTTTATATGTATGGGTGCTTTAGCTATATGTTATGTCTGTACCATATATATACAGTGCCTGTGGAGGTCAGAAGAGGGCGTTGGATTCTCTAGCACTGTAGTTACATTGGTTATGAGTTGCCATGTGGTTGCTGGGAATAGAACCTGGGTCCTCTAGAAGAGCAGGCAATGCTCTTCATCTCTGAGCCATCTCTCCAGCTCCTGTATTCCCTTTATTAGTGTTTCCTCTGGAAGTGTTGGAGGTAGGTCACTTGGGCAAAACAGTAGTGGTTTGGAGTGTCAGCAGTATTTTAGCTATACTAATTTTAACCCTTTATAACTGATTACAAATAGTCCCACCAGCGGTCTTTTTTTTTTAAATCAGTTTTATTTTGTGTGTTTGGGTGTTTTGTCTGCAAGAGTCTATGTCTTACACATGTGCCTGTGCCTGCAGAGGCCAGAAGAAGGTGTCAGAAACCCTGGAACTGGAGTTATGGATGGCTGCTTGGAAATTGAACCTGGGTCCTCTGGAAGAGCAACTGGTGCTCTTAACCGCTAAGTCAGCACCCACCAGCCGTTTTGCTGGTGTAAGCCCTTTGTACATCTTGCCTGCACGACTGTTCTTATAGTCTCGATCCACTGGACTTTTGTGGTTGGGTCAGTGGGGTTCACAGAGGCACATTTCTCTAACTGCCTTTCGGAAGGAAATCAGCCCCAGCCTTCTGTAGCCTCGTCTGAGCAGTG